ATATATATATATATATATGGAGGCATTTTAAACCCTTCCCACACTCTTGCAATATTCTAAACAATGTTTCTAAACTCTAAACACTCTAAAGCATGTCATGAACTCAGCTCTTGGCCACGCCCACTTCTCCGTAGCAGAATGGAGATCGACAAAGGAGGAGGGAGGAGAAGCTGCAGGAGGAAGTTTCTCCTGCAGTGTGGGCTGCACACAGGTACAGCAAGTGCTAAATAATTTAAAATAATTAATTTAAAATAAAAATTCATGCCGATCACGCGGCTCATCCATCAATCAGCCATAATCATAATATTGTCAGGTCTAATACTATTTTGAAAATCCACGAGTCCCCAAAAATGAACCGCGAAGTAGCGAGGGACTACTGTAATTCAAATTTGGTCAAATATAGACGTTTCGAATTCTGGGAAAGTTTCAAGAAATTGTGAATCCGTGATCATTTTTTTGTGTCGCACCATAAAACAAACAAGAAAAAGGTTTTCAGAAGCAGACACTGATAAATTTAACGTTTTATACTTTGCTTACAATACCTTTGACATTTAAACTATACAATCATTTGACCGTAGAAAAGGGAATAAATTCACATCCAAGTTTCTTCAGAACACTCCCCGCTTCATGACTACACGCACATTCCGCAAAATGTTCAACCTATATACAAAAATCTTTTCTTAAAAAGTAAATTCACATACACGCATTGCATTGTCGAGGCCATAAAATCAGTACGACATTTTTAGATTTGGTCAATTTCTCACACACAAAGACGCAGCATTGTTTATATAGGCTAGTCAACTGGAGTGTATAGCTCAGCTGTGGAAGTGGAAGGTGCATGCACAGCTTTAACTGTCAGTTTTATATTAAAAAAAAAAAAAAAACGTAGGCACATTTTTTGCTTTATACAAAGGCTAAAATCCAAGGAAACGTCTTTCTGTGTGAAGCTCTTTAATCTGCATGGCAGCTCCCATCACATCTGTTCTCCCGGCAGAAATTCATCAAGGCACTGTGTTCACTGTGGGTCTTGGTTTGAATCCAAAACTGCATTCCAAAGCAGCCCGACAGTCCAGAGACAAACTCCACAACAGCTCCCACAAATATCAGGTTTGTTCTTCGAATGAACATATGTGGCAAACGCTGGAAACAGAGCTGCAGGAATTTGTGATTCCTTATGACAGTTTTGCCACGTAGGGTTTTAAAAAAGTAAAAAATATAACTCTTTACATTGTCCATCGTCCATGTGGTTAAAAATACTCTGATGTACTTCTGATAGTTTCCAACGAAGATCAAACGAGCTCTACTTCAGTTGACTTTAAAGATGCTGAAGACGTGATTGGCTACAGGGTGGAGGCTGAAGGACGGGCCCGTGACGGCCTGCAGCTCCGTGTTTTTCTCCAGCCGCAGGAGGCCCGAGACCTGGCAGGGCTTCACGAAGTGGAAGGCGTGCGGCCCTGCGGAGGGGGTGGTCCCGTAGCCCTCCATGCACTGCAGCTTCTGGGGCCTCAGGCCGTTGGTCACCACGTCCAGCTTCACGTACTGCGACTGCTGCTCGTTGAACAACACCTGAGGAGGCAGAACAGAGCGTGCAGGAGAAATCAGATGAGGCGCAACTTTTATTAGGTAAACGGAAAACTAATCAGGCTCCAGGAGGGCTTCAGGGATCATACTTTCATGACTTTTTTCCATTTAGATTCTTTTCCAGATTTCTGTAAAGCGTTGCAGCATGACTGACTGACATAAACTGAGTCTGCTTTTCTGAAGCCATAAATGGAATTCTTTATTGCTCTGAATGTGACTGATTCCTACTGAGCATGTGTTTGGACTGGAAGGGTGGACGCAAACAGATGTAGTTTTAGAATTACATCTAGATAAATCAATATGTTAAGTCTCTGTAGCAAAAAAAAAATTAACTTAAAGACTAAATGCTACAGAATGAGCACAGGGGGCAGTGCAAAAATCAAACTATTGATTTTCGTAATTGGCATTTGCATAAAAATTTGTCCATGAAGACGTAAAAAGAGTGGGACCTAAAACTGAACCTTGTGGCACACCATTGGTGGCCATGAAGTACCGTTAGGATTTCCCACTCTTTTTACAATTTATATAAATAATGTAGGTCTAAACATTCCTGATGCATCTTGGTATCTCTATACCGATGACGCTGTTATTTATTGCCGAGCTAACACAGCTGCCAAGGTTTTCCAGCTTCTACAGTCTGCATTTGACATCATTCCGTCAGATTTGTTCTATCTCTGGTGCTAAATGCTAATAAAACCAAAGGGATGTTGTTTTCCAACAGAAAGTCGGTACCAGCAACTCTTCCTCCTAACTCATCCATGCATGGTGTTCCTATTGAGTTTGTAGATTCTTACAAATACTTGGGAATGTTGGTCGATGCACATTTCTCTTTTAAACCACATATTGAAAACTTGATAAAGAAACTGAAATTAAAACTGGGTTTCTTTTTCAGAAATAGATCTTGCTTAACTCTGAATGCCAGAAAACGCCTTGTAACCACTACCTTCCTGCCAGCCATTGCTTATGGTGACATTATTTACATGAATACCCCTGCCAGCTCCTTGCAGATGTTGGATGCTGTCTACCATGGTGCACTAAGATTCATAACTGGTAGTAACTACCGTACCCTTCACTGCACTCTGTACTCCTTGGTCAGTTGGTCATCATTATCTACACATATCTGGTTCATTTTCATCTATCAATCCCTCCTTGGTCTTCTAACTTCTTATATTTCCTCCCACGTCACGTGGTCAGTGCAGTTATAACATGCACTCTCAGGTCATCATTACCCGCAGCATTCCCTCAGTGCAGACTGAACTTGGCAAAAAGGCCTTTTCCTACACCTTAATTTCTTAAAGGGGTTTCAAACATTTGATAATGTCAATAGAAAAATCAAAGCAAATATGTTCTTGTTTTTAGTATGTCACCCTGTTTTATGACACCATGATTTATTGTTTTGTACACTATTATTTTAACTGCATTTTTACTGTAGTTTACTGTTGTCATTGTCTACTGTTTTGTTGTCTGTACTTTATATGTTCGGTCTGGAACAGGTCCCTCTTGTAAATGAGTCCCCGTGGCTCAATGAGGTTAGCCTGTATAAATAAAGGTTAAATGAATGAAATCCCTTCGTATAATGTTTGGCGTCATTGTGAAGCTCAAGGATTCCTCCTATGTAACTGTATGCCTGAAATTCCTGATGATGCTGTGCTAGACCAATAAAAAATCAAGTTGTCAAAGTTGAACTCATAAATAAACTACGGTAGTTTGTTGCCAGTACTTGAAACCAACTTACGGGGAAGCTGGTCCTGTTCCAGTTTCAGCTTCTAAATTCCTGTCAGATATCTAGATTTCCTTTTTGATTTTGGTTTTCCTGAGATTTCAAGTTATAATGTAACATCTGGCACAATGTGACCATTAAACTATAACCAAGTATTTTATTGTGTTATTATGTTAAGCTCTCACTTAGGCAGAATCTCTTTGCTATGCCTTGTTTAACCTTTTTAGCCCTACCCATACATCCAGGGGTAAAGGGCCAGATCCTACTCGGGTGCAAAGCAAAGGCTCTTGGGGCTCTTCTGTCCTTAAAAACTGAAAATTTTCAGGGGCACACATGAAAAGGAAGAATTATGAGCTGCAAAAATGAACTCATGAAGGTAAGTATTTCCCCTGATATTTTTTTACTGGTACAAAAACCACTGTAAATGCTTAGTTTGATGTATTTGGCGTTATCGTCAATTATCCTGATCAATCCTAAAAAAAAACAGTACTGTACGTTGCTAAAAAATATTAATGTCTAGTTTAGTGTACTTTGATGTATAAGTTTTGGTATTGTTATGAGTCTATCTTAAAGTATATTCCAAGTCTGTTGTAGGTTTGCTAATTAATTTTGCGCTCCGTTTATAAGCATGTTGACGTTACGTCTGTTTCCGTGAAAGGAATCGTCTACAACTCGTTGTGTGTCAACGTTTTAAATAGGTTTTCCATTTTGCAGTGGAATATTTTGCGTTTGTGCCTTTGAATTAAACCTCCCTTCACACCGGATGACGATGTACAAAACATTTAGTGAAACGTGGATGATCTTTGCCGGGACATGTAATAGTTGATATGCATGTATTGAGAATGCTAAGGACTCCTCGTTACACTTAACAATGCGATATGTTGACAGAACATTTGTAGTCAGCATATTGAGGTCCTGGGTGGATCACGGTGGCAGCATATCCATGATGTGGGGCCATTGGGCATACCAATATGGTTTTGCCACACAGAACTTTTAGCAGGACTGGTCACGCTGGCCTAGGCTACAACCCCATCATGATATCAGTGTTGTGCTAGCATGGCATGATCCTCTAGCATGTAGGTGCATCCCAAAGTGGCCCAAAGGTCATGAAAGAATAGGGCTCAGGGTGTACTTGTGGGTGTATGTGGTAGTACCTTCATGGAAATGTCCTGCTGGCATACAAAGTATAGTAAGGGAACAGAAGAGTCTTAGGGGTGCTGCAACTAGATAAAACTTACAGTATTTGGGGAACTAATATGCACGGTTGCCGTCAACTTCAAACATTCAGTTTGATCCAGGTTGTGTAGGTCATTGAGAGCATAGTGAGGTCATTGTCCACTATGAAGGGAGTATAAAGACCATGAGTAAGACCCTTAACCCTCCATCTGCTCCCCTGGGCACCAAAGATGGCAGCTCCACACAGAGGACGGTGGTAGCTCTGTGGTCTGTGGGTGCATCAGGAAGGGCATCCAGCATACAATTGCCAAATGTATGTGCGAGTTAGCACGCTGTGGCGACCCCTGAAGAAGGGGGCAGCCAAAAGAAGAAGAAGAATGGGATAGGTGTAGGCACATACATTAGGTTGGGGTAAGGCCAAGGAATGTGAGTTTCTTCTACAGCACTGGTAATAACCTACTGTTCCTGAACTAGACTCACCTGGCAGAACAGAAAGTACACCCCTGTTCTCTCCACAGTGAAGGTGCCTTGCTCCTTGTTGTACTTCACCGCTTTACTCATATTCAACGTCCTCTCTTCCCAGCCTTTTATCACACCACCTTCTCCCACTGAGAAACGCACACAGACACACAAATCCTCGGTTATCCATCACTCAGAGGGAGGGGAAAAAACCCTTCAGACATCGTCGTCCATTCTTCATTTAACAACTCTTACCTTGCTGAGAGGACAGTTTGGTTACTGGTGGAAAGAAGGAGACAATGATGGAGACAGAAAAGGGGAAAGTCAATTAGGATTTTATGGGTGCAATCATATAGGGGTATATGATTTGAAAACACTTCAGCAGATGCTATTTGAGATGGCTATAAGGGATTTGCCAAGCCACTTACTTTCAAAATGAGACGCCGCTTTCCTTCCATTTCCATTTCTCCCTCGTGCCGTCCCCCCTTCGAATTCAGAGACAGACACAGTTAGAATACACAGAAAATAACCTCTGTGGGCTGATTCTTTTTTTAAATAAAACAATCATTCCCATCTGTATCGCTCTAATAACACGGTAGTTTAATTTGCTGCCGTTCAAGTTCAACCTGGACAGTTCTAATGTGATTAGCAGCTGGGCAGAGGATTTCCTTTCACGTGCTTCAATTTATTTCCTCAAAGTGTTATTTTCTGTCAAGTGTGTGTGCCTCTTTTCAGCCTTTTCTCTTTTTTTTGGTTCCCCTGTGTGGGCTAATCTTAGTGCCAGCTGGTTTCAGTCATCTAGAACAAGAGTGAAAGAATGGAAGGACGAAGTGGGGGGGAGCAATAAAAACAAGACGGGCAGGGGGAAAGTGAATAAAAACACATTAAAGACAGCCATTTATATGAGAGGAGAGGGGGGGGTGACAAAATTTGGATCATTCAGGACTGAAAAGACTCTAATGATCGGAGAAAAGGAACAACTACAGCGTCTTTTCAGACAAATACAATAAATAGAACAACCGGAGCTGAAGAACGGTGGCTCTTGTTGCTCACTAAACGTTTATTTTAGCCTTTCGATTTAGCCTGAAGGGACTTCAGCTGCAGATCTACATGACCACCACCTGACTGCTGCCGTTACTCAAGAATATTAAATCCCTGCTAAAATAACTCGCAGGTGGGTGACTGACCCTGTAGACTTTGGATTTGCATCGGAGCGAGCATAAAGCCCTCAGGCTGGCCAGATTTTCCCCCCGACTTCAGCTGTCAGTCACGAGGAGCGAACACAACAGTAGTGTCTTTCTGAAAACGCCGGACGGCTGCGGTTAATTTTCCACAAACTGGAAGAAGCTGTTTGGGCTTTTTTTTCCTTCCCCACCTATACGTGTGAATTTCAGTACGGAGCCTTCGTATCTCAGCGGAGGATAAATTCTAGCCACATGCTTCCCTTTAAAGCAATAATGCAGACCGTCTGAGGCAAAGTTCTCCAGAACGTTTATGAATAAATGGCGTCTAGCTCTTTGAACAGTGTCGGTTTGAAGAAATTGACTTTGATTTTGACCGGACTGGCGAGCTAACGGCTAGTCTGAACAAGCAACAACAAAAGTAGACTGCAAAAATGCTACTGCAGTTCCAAGCAAACATTCATTCTCTTTAGCTGCTTTTAGGTTTTTAGGTCATAGGGGTCACTGATGCTCATCCAGCAGTCGTTGTTTGAGAGGCGGGGGACACCCTGGACAGGTCTCCAGTCCATCACAGGGACGCATAGAGACATACAAGACAAACAACCATTCACTCTCTCACTCACACCTAGGGACAATTTAGAGTTACCAGTCAGCTTAACATGCATGTTTTCATGACAGAACGTGCAAACTCTACTCAGAAAGGTCCCCCCGGCTGGGATTTGATCCGGCGACCATCTCGCTGAGAGGCAGCAGCTCTACCAACTGCGCCACCGTGCCGCAGTTCAAACAAACGGGATTATTTAAAGTTTTAAGAGTCAATTTCGCATCACACAAAAAGCAAGGGTTATTTTTTAACTCTGATAGTAGCGACAGCTGCTAGCTGTAGCACTTCCTGCGTGAATAACGACATATCTTCCTTTCACGTCAGAATTTTAAAGTAACCTTTATCAAAAAATGATAACGTTAAAGCCATTTCGGTCAAATCTTGAACATTTTGTTTCGCGCAATCTGACTTTTTTTGATAAATAGCATTGGGACTAAATGACGGGGATGACTCTCAGCTACTACCACATCTTTGCTCTATGTGTAATTTTATTAAAGTTTTAGCTGTGGCAGCCATCTTGAATGTACTTCTAAAGATTAAGTTTGGAGAGTTTTATTAAACTTTGTCCAGTTGCTCATGGGAACGTTTTAAACAAAGACCTTAGCACTCGGAGGATGTGTTGGAGATGACTTTCAGCTACTGCTTAATTTATAAACCAAACAATGACAGAACGCAGTGTGTTTATGGGGGGTCTGTAGTCTGCCTGACCAACAGCTCTCCTTGTGTGAATAGAGCATGCTCCGCTTCTCTCAAGCATTATAACCCCAACCCCCCAGGGGTGGAGATTTGTTTTAAGGGTATAAGCAGAAATGTTTACTTGAAGGTGCAACTCTTATGTGATATTAAGAAGCACATAAGTGGTTGTTGTGTTTAAAATGAGTGTTTGTGTAATTCAAATGTGTAATTATTGTCAGTTTACATATCCAGTATACATTTTATTTGTTCAAGGCGGTCATATTTGTTCATAACTTTATTATTAGTAAGCCTGAGAGTTACCGGATCCAAGCAAACAGTTATCGGAACGCACCCTGTCAAAATAAGAGAGTTCCCGGATCCTGTTCCTGCAGGATCCGGCTCAAATTAAGCCCTGACCACAACCACACTGAATCTGAGCTCAGTATCTGTGAAACTGGTTGAAAACAGAAGTTTTTGTTTTCACTAGGGTTGATTAGCTGTGGTGGCCATCTTGAGTCAAACATTTATAGATGTTAATCTTATTAGCTACCTAGAAGTTTCTGTGAACTCCATCCAGTGGTTGATGAGATATTTTGCTAAGAA